TGACATTTGTAAACTGCTTAGAGACGGCTGTAAAGCACTGTGGAGTGTTTTATAAGTCTAAGTGCTATTGCTATTAAAAACAAAACTTTATTAGCGTCAACATATCTTCTTGGGTCTCTTCCTTGTTCTGTTTTGTCGAAGCTGATGCAGAAAAGAAAGATCCGACTGATCAAAGTCAAGTGAATGAAACTTTCATGGACAATTGGAAAAGTAAGGAGGCTGTCATGGAGAACTAGTGTTTAACCCTCTACAGTAGCCTGAACAGAATATTCAGAATATTCTCCAGAACAGAATATTCCCATATTTTTCATAGACATTCCTATTTTCTCTCGTTCCCATCACCTATAGCTTGAAAGAACATAACATCTGCAGCCCACAGCTCAAAAACTTGTGTGCAACCTTGGAGTTGCCTCCAAATTGTGCCAAAATTGGGGGAAGTTCTTGAACAGAGACGGGGGGGGGGGGGGGATTCTTAAATAAACATGAGAAGCATATTTCATTAGTGTAATTTTTCAGTACTTGCTTCTTTTGAGTTCTTGTAAGCTCCTACTCTCTGATTTACACAGCATCTTCCACCATCCCTGAGGTCTCTGTTTTTGGCTTGGGGAGAGTATCTTAGGTAGTACTAAAATGTCTTTTCAGGTGTCTGGAAAAATTAACCAGATTGTTCTAATCTAGCTGGTTGTGATTCATTCAATAAATCTTGGTGCAGAACAAAGCTTAACTTTGTGGGATGCTCAAACTACAGATAGTGACTGGGCTCATCAGTGAAGAACTGCATCTCACCCGTGGTGAAAGTAGAACATTGAGAAGATGTTCTTGACTTTTGCCTTTAATGCCACAACGGTCATACATCATGTAATCTATAAGCAGCAGAGGCTCAATCCAAAAATCATGAGACTTTTTTTTAAAGATTCAAAGAATTGGAGGAGATACAATCTGACAGACAGAACAATGCAGCAAATTCAAGGGATAGAAGAAGTGATTACTTCGCTGGGTGCTATAGGGATAGATTCTCTAAACTGACAGCATACATATGGATTTTAGCTGCCTAACTTGGCGTATAAATAGGAAATGTTTCACAAAACAGAATAGGGGATATTTCAAACTACACCTGAGACTGTCACATCACAGTAAAGACCACTGCATGTAACCCATGTTGAAATTAGAATGAGAAGAGGGTTTATATTTATTGTTTTAAATGCAAGAAATGCCACCTGTGAACATGAACTGTCATCTGTAATAATCCCCTGGAGAAAAGAAGAGAATGAAACAAAACACCAACAATCACCTGATTGTCATGATGACATTCCATATATATATATATGCTTACCGTCTGTGTTTCAGCCTGAGCTGAGGAAAACCAGCATCACACATCTGGATAATTGCATTTTTGTTTTACTTCCTGTTTGGGGAATTGAGAAGACCAAGCTTGGATGCCCACGTCTATCATTTCCATCTTCCACAGAGAGGTTGGCTTGGGGATGTAATTTGGTCCAGGCCTTCTAAGGGCTGGAGGCCAGTTTTGCTCAAGATTGCTCTGTGTTCCTACAGATTTGAGCAAGACCAAACATCCAGAAACAAATTCCCTAAACAGTCATCAAGATCACCTACTCAGCCAGTGATGAATCATTGCCAGAAGTGATAGACTCAAATAAGAAAGGAGGGTCACATCTGCTTCAGCCTCCTATGCTAGAAAATTATTCACTTCTGATTACACATGAGCAGAAAAGAAGAACCGGGAAGAACGGGCCAGTGGTAGCAGATTAAATTGCAGGAGAGATGTCCATGCTACATTCCAATTTAATTCTTCAGGGAAGCCAAGAGAACTAAAAATAAATGTTTGCAATATAAATAAGCAAGTCCTCAGAAGCCCAGGGAGGCTAATAAGCAAGCATCATTTCCTTTTGTCATTAAACAAGGGTTTCCCGATTTCAGCAGTCCAAAGATTAATGTGTTATTAAGGCTGAAAACTGATTCAACAGCTCGGCATAATCTTGTCATCATTCACTTCTGTTCAAACAACCCCTGGTTTGGCTCAGGTATCTTTTGGTGTCAAAGACAGAAAAATCTCAGTATTTCTTTTCATCTTGTCAGATTATTTCTTGAACCTCCCTTTAAAGCTCCAGCAAAAACTGAGGAGGTTACATACTGTAGGTTTCTCATAAAAGCCACCCAGAATCTTTTTGGGAATCGGGTGGCTTCAAAAGATAATGAATAAATACCGACTAGCTGATTAATCTACCCAAATGATCAAGGCACCTACAACCACCAGTTCTTACTTTTGTCCTTGGAATCATTGAATCCACATCTAGGAAAACAAAAAAAAATATAATGTATAATAATCATGCTAGCTCTATAATCAGCAACCTTGGATTTTTGTATTTGGAGATGCTATTATTTTCATATTTGATTCCAAAATCTCAAATGACTAATCCAGAATCAACATCCATCCTCTTTTCCAAACAGTTATTTTGAATACTAAAAGGAGTAACAGGCACCCATCAATTACCTCCAAAATGAAGACTTCTTTATGAATGATTCACAGACTATCCATTAAGCATAAACACAAAGACACTTTTATGAAACCTCACTAATCTTACAGAAACTCTTGTGGCATCATTTAAAATGTTTCCCCTAAAAAGAAAATGTTCAAGATGTCCTCAGTGTTTCCCTTGGTGAAAAGTAGGAATAAGCCAAGAATTATTAATGATTTTATCCGCTGCATTGTTTTAGAACTGGTGAGTTTAATGTTTTTATGTTGTAAGCCACTCGAAGTCATTGGATTCAAGATGGCCAGCAAATAAATTTCATTTATTTGAAATGAAATTTAAAAAGCAGAAGGAAACAACAGCCAATCTCCAGCCACCAACACCCTAATCAACCAATAGAAAACTACATCCAACCACATAAATACAAAGCATAAAAGGTAAAGGTTCCCTTCGCACATACGTGCTAGTCGTTTCCAGCTCTAAGGGGCGGTGCTCATCTCCATTAAAAAGCCGAAGAGCCAGCGCTGTCTGAAGACGTCTCTGTGGTCATGTGGCCAGCATGAGTAAACACCGAAGATGCACGGAACATGGTTCCCTTCCCACCAAAGTGGTCCCTATTTTCCTACTTGCATTTTTACATGCTTTCGAACTGCTAGGTTGGCAGAAGCTGGGACAAGGAACAGGAGCTCACTCCGCTACGTGGCGCTAGGGATTTGAACCACCGAAACGCCAACCTTCCTGATCAACAAGCTCAGATTTCAATAGAAAGAAGTTCCCTGAGGATGGGCTCCAGCACAAGTCTGAAAGCTGGGAAGTATTAAACCTCTGGTCCCGATGACCAACCCAGATTGGCTATGTTACCCTGGAACATGTATATTTACCTCCATTTATAATTGTTGGCCAAGCAGGTAACAAAGATTCCAGGGAAATGATTGAAGCCGGGGAAACGGGGGCCCTTGTCAGTCAACAGGAGTGCTGATTTACCACCAGCTTGTCAGGTATTTAGGAAGCAAGGATTTGGCAATGCAAGGAAACAATAGCCAATGACACAATAGCCGGCCATCAACACTCCAAAAAAACAACAACTAAAAAGCCACACACAACCAGGCACCACGTAAATATTATGCATAGAATAGCCCAAAGCACACATTCTGGTTCAGAGAAATTCCCGGAGGATGGGCTCCAGCACAAGTCTGTAAGCTTGGAAAACTAAACCTCTGGTCCTGGTGAACGACCCAAATTGGCAGCATTACCCTGGGACATGTATATAAATTACAAAATAAATAATAGCAATAGCAATAGCACTTAGACTTATATACCACTTTATAGTGCTTTACAGCCCTCTCTAAGCAGTTTACAGAGTCAGCATATTGCCCCCAACAATCTGGGTCCTCATTTTACCCTCCTCAGAAGGATGGAAGGCTGAGTCAACCTTGAGCCTGGTGAGATTCGAACTGCCAAATTGCAGGCAGGCAAATAAATTACAAAATAAATAAATTACAAAATGGCAGCCTGCTAGCTTGTTGTTTGTTGTGGCCAGGATAATAGACTCTCCTTCTCAATTATTCTGGGTTGTTGCAGAATCCCTTGTGAAGCAAAACAGCTTATAATATGCACTACAAGTCTCTGTACTTCACACATCTGGATAATTGCAGTTTTGTGTTACTTGCTGTTTGGGGAATTGAGAAGTTCAAGCTTGAATGCCCACATATCCTCTGATCTGGTCCTGGTGTACAACCCAGACTAGCAGGGTTATCCTGGGACATGTGTATTACATTTGTAATGAATTACAAAATAAATCAATAAATCCGATCAAACTATGTTATGATCCAAACTCCTGTGTTTCTTGAGGGTTTTCTCATAGGTTATCCTGGAGCAATATCACTCTCTTCCAACTAACAACTAAGTTTTTCCCCCTTTAAATCCATTTTTAGAAGGAATGCAACTTAAGAGTATCAGTTGTAGAGAACCTGTCTCTAATAGCAATAGCACTTAGACTTATATACCACTTTATAGTGCTTTCCAGCCCTCTCTAAGCAGTTTACAGAGTCAGCATATTGCCCCCAACAATCTAGGTCCTCATTTTACCCACCTCGGAAGGATGGAAGGCTGAGTCAACCTTGAATCAGTCAGGATCGAATCAGTCAACCTGCAATACCATATTCTAACCACTGCGCCACCAGGGCTCCTAATGCAACATCCAATCAACTGCAGCATTAGCAATAGCACTTAGACTTAGATACCGCTTCACAGTGCTTTCCAGCCCTCTCTAAGCGGTTTACCGAGTCAGCCTATCGCCCCGAACAATTTGGGTCCTCATTTTACCCACCTCGGAAGGATGGAAGGCTGAGTCAACCTTGAGCCTAGTGGGATTTGAACTGCCAAATTGTAGGCAGCTGGCTGCAGCAAAAGTAGCTTGCAGTACTGCATTCTAACCACTGTGTCACAGAGGCTCCTAATGCTAATACCGACTCAAACAATACTGCAAATGCTGACGTTGGCTCTTACTTGTGCCCCAGTTCGTGAGCAATGGTGAAGGCCAGGTTGAGTCCATTGTCTTCTGCAAGGACACACTTCCTCTTCAAGCTGCAGATTCCTCCAAGGTAAGCGATGCCTGAAGAAAATAAGAACAGTCTCCATCAAGGCCAGTACAGCACAGATGATCCTCAACATACCACCACAAAGGAGCCCAACATTTCTGTTGTGTAGTGAAACATTTGTTAAACGGGGTGTTTAACCCATTTCATGACCTTTCTTGCCACAGTTGTTAAGTGAATCACTGCAGTTTGTTAAGTTAGTAACACAGTCATTAAGCAACTCTGGCTTCCCCATTGACTTTGCTTCTTAGAAGGTCACAAAAGTTGATCACGTGACCCCCCCTGGGACACTGTTATAATCATAAATATGAGACAGTTGCCAAGCATCCAAATTCTGATCACGTGAATATGGGGATACTGCAAAGGTTGTGAGCGTGAAAAAGGATTACAGGTCACTTTTTTCAGTGCCGTTGTAACTTTGAATGGTCACCAAATGAACCATTGTAAATCAAAGACCACCTGTAAACAGTTTGTATTTTTATAATAGTACTTTCAGACAATTCCGAGGCCATTTAGATTTGCTTTAGCTTAGCTTCTCTGAATATCTCTATTTTTTTCTTTTAAAATGGGCGGTAGAACCCAAACAGATGAGAATGATAATACAGATATTAGTTATTGGTGTTATTACTTTTAGTATTTTCTCTTTTTGCCTTATGGCAATCTAATTATTTTTTGTGTTTTGTTACATTTGTTGCTGTTTATATAATATAATCGCTGTTTTTTAAATTAGTCTACTGTAGTTTTTTAGACTCCACTTTTGCATAGTTTTTCATAATAATTGTAGTCTTGTTTTCACTTCTTGTTTTCCATTTATCTACTCATATTTTACAACTAAGATTATCATCATCTTCATCTGAATGGATCTTCCTATCCATTCATCATTTCACCCATCTTTCTCTATTCTCTCTCTCTCGCTTTCTCTCTCTCTCTCATCTCTATTTACTTACCTACCTACCAGGAATTACAAAATTAAAATTAGGCATTTCAAAGAGGACACCAAACACTTTGTTTTCAGATTGTTATAATGGAATAACAGAGTTATTGTAGGCCATCTAGTCCAACCCCTGCCCAAACAGGAGACTCTACTACACCAGGGGTCTCCAACCTTGGCAACTTTAAGATTTGTGGACTTCAACTCCTGAATTCCACAGCCAGCAAAGCTGGCTGAGAAATTCTGGGAATTAAAGTCCACAAGTCTTAAAGTTGCCACGGTTGGAGACCACTGCTCTACACCATTTCTGAAAGATGGCAGGTTCTTAGGTACCAAGATGAAGATTTAACACAAGACAAGAAAGGAAATCGTGAGGTTAAACAGAATTAAATCACTTTAGCACATGGAAACCTGCCATTAACTTGATGGACAACATTTTAAAAAAAGCAAAAAAGGAAGGACTTTCTTGGAATAGTGGATCAAAATTCATATTCACAGAGAAGTAGGCTTAAGTGGCTATTTTTAAAAAGAAAATCCACAGGAGCAGGGATGATACAAGAAACTAAACCATAACCTTGGAATAATATTTTTGCCTCTGGCAATGCCTTTTTTTAAGGTTTACAACAGATAACAACATAGCAATAGCAATAGCACTTAGACTTATATACCACTTCACAGTGCTTTTACAGCTTCTCTAAGTGGTTTACAGAGTCAGCCTCTTGCCCCCAACAATCTGGGTCTTCTTTTTACTGATCTTGGAAGGCTGGAACCTTGAGCCCGGTGAGACTCGAACTGCCAAATTGCAGGCAGCCGACAGTCAGCAGAAGTAGCCTGCAGTACTGCACTCTAACCACTGTGTCACCGAGGCTCATGGGAATGTCCCCAAAGACACTTTTTATGTTTGGGATTTTTGGAGGTTTAGTAAGTAAAATCAGTGCATAGAACTATTTGAGGCATGCCACACATCTTCTGCTTCCCATTAGGGCAAATACTCTTTCCAATTTTTGGAGTAACCATATCTCAGGTGTTGCATAGCGTATATGCATAGGGTATAGGGTTTCCTGTTTGGGGACGGGGTTGGACTAGAAGACCTCCAAGGTCCCTTCCAACAATTCTATGAACTGTAACTTAAGTGAGTTATGACATAAAACTGGATATGGAACATATTTTGCTTTGCGTCTGATCTCTGTGACATCTGGAAGCCACATCTTAAAAGAGAGGGGAATTTTTTTTTTTATTCCATAAAAAGAAAAAGAAATTAAAAAAAATCAAAGTTGAATGATATACTTATTAACCAACGAGTTCAATAGCACATGCAAGCTTTCAGCTTCTCCTTTCCAGGATATGGAGAAATGTCTCCTTGAACTCTACATTTTGTACAACAAATTAACCTTCCTCTCTTGCTTTCATGATCCCTCTCGGTCCACATTTCGAAAAGTTTCCTAGGTGACTCTGTGCAGAAAAATGCGGCATCTAAAAGTATTCCTTCCCCCAAGGCATAAATGCAATTCTATGTAAAAGACAAGACCAACCCAAAGGCAGCATTTCTATTTTAATTAGGACCTTATTTGGATCTTTTAAAAATCCTTTTTTTTCCCTCCCAAAAGACAAAGGGTCTATTTATTTGTAAGGAATGTTGCTCCCACAACAGAGGTGGCCTGGGCACCAGTTCCTATTTAGGAGAGTAAAAGAGTTGAGGCAACTATTTAAGAGCGGTTCTCTTTTTCCCACCATCATTTTTTTTTCTCATAGAAGGCAATAAAGAGCAGATATCCTTTTGATGAGCATGGAAAACTGCCCAGTTTTTTATTTTATTTTATGGGAAATCGTTTCGCATGGAAGCTTAGGTTCAGAAAAAAGGGAAAAATTGTTTCATATTTTTGCTTTCCTGTGGAATAACTTCCAACGATGCCCAAGACTCTTTATTTCAAATATACTGACTGTAATTTTAGAAGAAGCAATAGCATGATTGTAAGCATGCTGTTGCTACTATCCTTCTAAAAATACATATACTCGTGTATTGCTCTAAACTTTAACAGCTTTGTCTGAGTTTTTAAAGTTTTTTTTTAAATAAAAACAAAAACATATGAAGAATGGTTACAGGCATTGGGTATATCTAGTCAGTCTAATGAAAAGGGAAGATATGGTAGCAGTATTTCAGTATCTGAGTGGCTTCTACAAAGATGAGGGAGTCAAACTATTCTCTAAAGCAGGTGTCCCCAACCACCAGTCCACGGACCGGTACCGGTCCGTGGAACAAGTCCTACCGGGCCGCTGGTTTGCTGGGCGCCACCATCTTTTTTTGATGAAAAAGTGCTTCCGGTGAGCTTTTCTGGGTAGAAAGCTCACCGGAAGCACTTTTTCATCAAAAAAAGATGGCGGCGCCCAGCTGATGCCAGTACCGGGCCGCGGCGTCCAGCTGATGCCGGTACCGGGCCACGGCATAAAAAAGGTTGGGGATCACTGCTCTAAAGAACTTGAAGACAAGACAAGAAACAAGGGTTGGAAATTAACCAATGGGAGAGAAGCAACCTAGAGAAGAAAAGTTTGCTAATGGAGTGAGCAATCAACCAATGGAACTGCTTGCCCTCAGACGTTGTGGGTGCTCCATCACAGGAGGCTTTCAAGAAGAGACTGGATAGCCATTTGTCTGAAATGGTATAGGGTCTCCCACTTGAGCAGGGATTGGATTAGAAGACCTCCAATTCCTTTCTAATTCTATTGTTCTATGTTCTAAAGCAAGGGTCTTCAGACTTGGCAAGTTTAAGATTTGTGGGTTTCAACTTCCAGAATTCCTGAGCTAACATGACTGGAGAAGGAATTCTGGGAGTTGTAGTCCACAAGTCTTAAAGCTGCCAAGTTTGAAGACCACTGTTCTAAAGCCAATTATGGTAAAAATAAGCCAAATAAGTTGCTCTTCTGTCTCTGCTTCACATTTTTAATTTTTTTCTGATGAGAAGATGAAGAAGTGTGTGGAACCCATGGAGTCAATACAAATGGAGAACACTATTCTATGAACCACCTGTAAAAGTGCAGTGAATGTAAGAGCTTTGCTGTCTTGAAGCACCACTGAAACGTTCATATTTGATGAAAAACTAGGTTCAAGGTGTCCTGATAATCCTTATTCATCTTAGGTAGTATACATTGGAATCAAGTTTGAATTTGTAGACTTGCCTCAATTGAGTCATCAACTAGGATATGAACACAACCTTCCAACACAAACTATTGCAACATACTGTGCAGAGGAGAGCAAAAAAGATGATTAGGGGGCTGGAGGATAAAACCTATGAACAACAGTTGCAGGAATTGAATAGGTCTGGTCCAGGGGCCTCCAACCTTGGCAACTTTAAGACGTGTGGACTTCAACTCCCAGAGTTCCCCAGCCAGTTGGCTGAGGAATTCTGGGAGTTGAAGTCCGCACATCTTAAAGTTGCCAAGGTTGGAGACCCCTGGTCTAGTCTAACGAAGGGTCTAGGGGTGCCATGATAACAGTCCTCCAATATCTTGGGGGTTATCACAAAGAAGAGGGATCAACTTATTCTTCAAAGCACCTGAAGGCAGAACAAGAAACAATGGATGGAAACTAACCAAGGAGAGAAGCAACCTAGAACTAAGGAGACATTTCCTAACAGCGATACAGTTAGCCAGTGGAAGGGCTTGCCTTCAGAAGTTGTGGATATTCCATCACTGGAGGTTTATAAGAAAAAAAGCAGCAGCCATTTGTCTGAAATGGTATAGTTTCTCCTACTTGAGAAGGGATTGGATTAGAAGCAGGGGAGGGCTGCTGGGGGTTTGGAGGGGTTCGGGAGAGCCCTTAGCTAAGATTCTATGCAGTTTGGAGAACCCCCAAATCCCACTCCTGCCTGGCCCTGCCCACCTCTCCCCTCCCAGGAGTCCCCACGCAGCCCGTTTTGGATGCAGGTAAGTGCAGGGCGTGCACAGAGGCTCAGGACGTGCACAGAGGCTCAGGGAGGGCAAAAAATGGGCCTCCCGGAAGTTCGGGAAGGTTGGAAATGGTCCCGTTTTCAGCTTCTGGAAAGCCTCCGGAGCCTGGGGAGGCCATTTTCACCCTCCCCGAGGTTCGAG